CCTAAAAGGTTAAGGTTTTTAATTGTTTTCCAACGAAAAATCAAGTGTCTTTTAAAATTAATKAATGTTTATTGGTTTTATTGTTTTAACTGATTTTATTGGTTTTATGATTTTTTTGATRTTAAGATACGTAAACATTTTAATTTAATTTGTTACTTGAAAAGTTGAAACTTTGGTTAGATTTGTAATAAATGTTTCGATTTGTTATTAGTTTATTATGATATTTAATTTATATGTAAATAACCCATAAAACCCATTTAATCAACATGTTTTATATTATTGGYTTTGAATACGTAAATTCAAACCATATAATAGTTGGGTCAGGTCAAACCCGTCCATTAAAATCTCAAACCTATGTGGACTTGAATCGGGTCGGGTTATGTCGGAGTACCCCTACTAATTTAGATTTGTACCAAGAAAAATATACCATAAATAACTATATTAATAATCTCTAAAATATTAAAACATAATTAAGTACATTTAAGAGAGTGTCCGAATTTTCATCATCACCGGTATTTACGAAAATCTTTATAAATTACTCAAATCAATCTTAATAGATAATACGATTATTTTTTAATTAATATTTAAGATTAAATGTGTAGGATTTACTTAACAAGAATGAGATCTTTCATATTCAAATTTTTAGGATTAAATGTGTAGGATTTATTAAGCATTAAAATATGGGTATTTTAAACTTCGATATTATAATGCCGTATTTTAAGGATATTAGTAGGAACATTCAAAATGATTTGTTATGATAATTGAAAGGAAAAACAAAATTAATTTCCAATAATAGTGAATACTAAAAAAAACGTGTATAATGAAATTAATTTTCTTTTTCTTTTTAATTATCACAAATCATTTTAAACCTTTCTACTAATATCCTTAAAATACGCCATTAATAGAAATTGTAGATATCATCTAATAGCCAAGATTTGTTGCACATCGTTCTTTATACGGTATATGGTATTGATATCTTTCATTATACACTCCCTTCATCTATTTACTGGCTTATATATGAGAACCATCATCATAACACTTTTACCCCCAAAGGT